ATACAAAAACTCTTCCCACATGCCATTGCTAGCACAGCAATATTCTGCATATCACAACAACATGAAAGGAAGGGGAGAATACAAGAACAGTTTTCTGGTATTCTAACTCAGCTCAAACATAAATATGTTTAGACCTGATTAAGTTACTACTGTTCCATCGTGTCTTTAAAGACAACAATAAAACTATCACTCAAATGGAAAGGGTTTTGGAAACATAATCTATTCATACTGAATACTTAACAGCAGACCAGCACAAACAGCTCCATGACATCTTTTGCTCGAAAAGGAGAAGGTGTTAACTTAACTGTTATCTTAACTGTAACACAGCATGCATTTGTTTCCATTTTGAATTCTCTCCAATAGGCTCTCCTGGGACTTGCTCAACATCTTAAAGTAGGATCTGTATCCAGTGGAAGAACCCGAGTGGACAAACCATCTTGCTGGCCTGATAACAAATGTTATGTATGTCTAGATGCTGAAGCTGCACTAAAAGAAAGTGTTTTTGGATGGCATGTTAGGGTTGAAAGACTTATGAGCTTTCTGCAATGCTGCCAAGAAAAGTGCAACTCACTCTCTTTTGGCATACAAAGGAAATAGTCTTTACTATTGCATGTCATGAGAAGAAATGTATATGTTGGTTTTATTTAGAAATTTATTAGATTTGTTCCTCTACACAGCAATATGCCAGGATTTAACTACAATGACTAGAAACATCTGCTAAAGAAAACACTTCTGAGATGCCTGGGATTCAAAAGTTTGGGAACTGTCTTACAATTCAACTCAGTCATCCCCTGTTTCTGTCAGATTTCCAAGAGCTGTTACACACAAACAGATCAGCCACCCATTTTCCCCAAGAGCAAGAGGAGCATGAATGTAGATGGCTTATCTGAGACATAGCAAAGGACATGAGATAAACCGTACCTCAGCCCTTCCCTAAGTCTGACACATTCTGGGACCACCTGAAAATAAACCTGAATAAAATAATGCTGAAACTGGGAAGTACTTCAATAACTTGACATTGTACGCTGACCCATAAGGAAGGGATGAAATAAACAGATACATGTTCTCTCCTCCCTGCATGTCTTCCTATTTTCCTGATTTTTTTGGGGGGAGAGGGGGAGGAAAAATGGGGGGGGAAATCACCATTCCATGTATTCTGATTTCTCACAGAATAACCATAGCAGCAGCTGAAGATTAATACAGATCAAGGCAGAGCCGAGAGATCTGCGGGCTAAAGGTTTAAAATACAAAAGTTTGTGGAAAGTCTGTGGATTGTAGCTTGGAGCCAAATCCAAAAGCAGCAAAAGCAGCCCACTGTGACACACAGAGACCTGGAGAGCAAGGTAAGAGCATAAACAGTTGGTCGACTTGTGTAAGGGAATAGCGATAAGAAGCAACCCAAACACTGCCAAACTAAGGTCCACAGGAGCTTCAGTAAAATATTTAGTGCTCTAATGAAGTTGACAGCAATGAAACACAATTATTAAAGCGATACCCCTTTCCCTACCCCATGTGTCATCCTTTCTTTGCTTTGAACTTCATCAAAGCAGTTATTTAAGCTGCACTTTCTTTATAAGGCAGCCTAGAGATGGCACAGGAGAGAGATAGAAGACTGTAGTGGCTAGTATGGTAGAACAGCCATTCCATACACATCGCTCTTAGCTAGAGCATCTGTCCATTCCAGGCTATTACTGAGGTTAGTTAGCAAGTCTTGCTTCTCACAGAAACAAAATACAAGCAACAGAATGCTGGTTCCTAGTTTGATATGTATTTGTATCTCTCCCTAAATATATCCTCCTGTTCCTTACTGGTTATGACTCCCACCCCCTTTCAACACTTTTCTTCCACTACATTTCCTTCCAAGTCAGTCCAAGTCTTTATGCACGTACATTTTTAAGTGTCCCTTCATCCTCAGATCTTGCAGATGCTTACATGTGTTTTAGGGATGAGGAGAGAATACTTGAAAGAGAAATCCACCAACTTACTAATAAGAGAAAATACCTTTCTACTTTTTCTACTTTCACTAAACATTATCCAGTTTAGTAAATCCCATGTGCTGAAAATAGTTGTAAAGTACAACAATCCTTGGGGAATTTTCATATGCATGTAATTCTTCTCTCAGCACCTCTTTGGCTCTGGGCTTTTGCTGGCCCAAGGAAATTCAGTTCAAGGTTCAAAAGGGAAAGGGAAGTGCTGCATCCATAACGTGTGCAGTACGTTTCAAGATGAAAATTTAATTAGCACAGAGCTAAGATCCCCCATCTTAATAAAAGCCTTTGTAAAAGAGAATGTGAGCATAGTTCAAAAATGGTCCTTCACATCACGAGGGCAGGTCACTCATACAACTTTCACCAGCTAATGAAGCATCTGGCAGCACATTCAGTGGAGGTGGCTGCCAACTGTCCCTGATGCCATGTATGTCAGTTATGCTACATGTCCACATGCACTGGGAACACATTTCCAATTAGACTTCACATCTTGCTTTAAAAAAACACTGGCTTAGTACCAGAGGAAACAAAATGAATATGTATTTTTTTCAGCATTTCCGCACAGATCAACTGAGGAAGCCACTAGAATGGAGGAGAAACAGTTTGGAGAAGTGAGACCTTGGAAATGTAGCATGGGAGGAATCAGAACAACAAAATGAGCCTGCAAGGAATCAAGTATATGTTGCGGATACGTGTAAATACTTTGATTATGCTTTCATTATTACAGGTAGCTATTTCAAGTCTAATCATTTGTATACCTGACACATCTCAATAAAGGGCTTCCCTTCAACCAATATGCATTTAATCCTCATTTCTGCAACACTTTCAACTGAATTATTTGACTTTGGATCTGGAACTGCTCACCCCAAGAATCTGACCACCAACCTCCTGTGTACAATCGATCCACTTAGACAATGGAAAGAGAACCAAAAATTGCACTTAGTGAACAAAAAATACAATTCAATGGGGTCAGTAAGGTGATTTCTGGAACCTCCAGATTCTCTGGTATGTTTCCAGCTGCTGTTTCTATCTTCACTAACTGTGATGCCGACAGTGAACACCAACAGTTGGACAGAGCAAACCAGCAATGACTAAACAAAAGGCATTCATCTAGTAATGCTGTTACTATGATGCTACCATTGTACAAATGCAAGCAATGTGTGTACAGGACTCCAAACATTAAGGAGAAGCAACTGAAAAGCACTTACCTTTATTTCAAACTCATAGTGTTCATCCTTTCCCTGCCCACACAGGACATAGCGTGGAATACTAATTTTAATAGGGTCCTTTAGGTCATCTGGATTTGCTCCCAGTGAACGACAGACCATCCGCTTTCATGTGCATACCAAATAGGGAGAACAAAGGAAAACCAAAATCACTACATAAGGAAAAAGAGAAAAGAGCTTCACTAAAAACGAGAAAATGTTCTTGGCCAGAAGAGCAGGGAATGAGAGGATGGAGGAGGCAGAAATAACTTCTAAACTGAAGGAATTATTTGAAAAAAAAGTGGTTCTCCTTTTAAAAGCCAGCCTCAGCATTGTTTTATGCATGAAAAAATGAAGGCAAAGAGTTCTCAAAAATACTGTTTCTCCTTTGAAAAGGCATTTTCAGCTTAGATATCAAAACCGAGGGAGAGCAGACTTTGTGTTAGTCTCTTAGAAAAATTATATATATATATATATATATGTATATAAATCAAGCCTTCACAGACAGATATGGGTTTTTATGTCTTTATATAAGAAACATGTTTACAGTATCATGCATACCTGCAGGGGATCTAGGCAAATCAGAAAGCTCTTAGGTTTTAAAAATCCAAACTCATTTTATAATTAAATAAGGGAAAAATAACATAGCAATCCACTGTCAGAACAGCTTCCTACTATTTCCTTGAAATCACATCTAATTAACAGAACACTCAACTATGATAAATTTGCATGGTCTGGACAAAATGATCTAAACAGGTATCTGCAACGAGGGCACATTCCATGGACTAACAGCCAGATGGAATCTGTAACTCTGAGTTAATGTCAAAACCAAAATATGTTTGCAACTGAAAAGATTAATGCTTTGCAGTGACTGTGTCCAAAAGGAGCATTAAGCATTTACAGTGAAGAAGTACAGAAATTGCCTTGTCGGAAGTCCTCCACTTTCTCGATTGAACATATTTGGTCTGAAAACCTTAATGAACTTGTACTTAAAAAATAACAGTACCATGACAAGTGTAAGTTAACAATAACAAAAAAAGATTGAATACTACCACTTCAAAGATCTAACCATGTTACATATTTGCATTTAATGAAGCTATCCATCACTTGATCTGTAACTGTATTCTCAACATTCATTTTCAGTCCTTTAGCAGCTACCATAAGACATGTTGCTTAGTCAAAACTCTTCTGCCTTGACCAACATTATCTCCAAATGTGAATACGGCTCATACTTCTGCTAATCAGTGCTTGGGTTCTTTGTAGCAATTCCTGGTGATTTCCAGTACACATGATACTGTGTAGGAGCTGGAGAAAAGTCTGAAACTCATTCATAAATGCCTCTCAATGCTGTGTGTTTCAGAGAGCTTTTTGGCATCTTCACCTGGCTCTCAAGGAGAGGCTGTTATTTCATTACCAGTCAATTACAAATGCCAATGTCAATTCCCTTAAAATGAGCATTAGTGAAAAAGAAAATACAAAGCAAGTGAATTTTAGTTCCAATCTCTAGAGGGTGTTTACCACAAACTTTCTTTTTTTTTTTTTTTTTGTGAAAAAAATAAGAAAGCTAGTGTTTGAATGGAAAAATATTTTTAGAGGCATCTATTTAGACAATAAATATTTCCGCTTCTTCATTTTGCCCTTATTTCACTTCTCCTCACTTTACTGGCTTTTCAGCAAAAACCCATTTCTGGAGCATAGAAATGTAAGCAATTCTTTCCTTGGGGGAAAAGAGTTCTTCACTGCCTTGACAACAATATCATCTGTTTTAAAACAGCAATGAAACCATAAACACACTATTATAGCCAACTCTGTCAACAAGTAATTTATTGGCAGTCATTTTCAGAGAACTCTTACAAACACCTAATAGAGAGGAAAATAAACTCAAGTGTTGTGAAAAACATGCCCTAATACATTAAATAATGGTTTGATCTTCATAAACATTGATTATTACATTATACTTAATTTACAGTAGAATAAAAGCCATTGCTGTGAAGTTTGGGTTTGGTTGTTTTTTTTTTTCCCTATAAAAGTGCAGAATATTCATGGATCTAGATTTGAAAGCAAACACGAAAGAGGAAAACCATGTTATCAGAAACACAACATTTAACTTTGGAGTATAATCTGAAAAGGAGTAAGTTGCAGTAATTGCCTTCCTTTAATAGTCTTGATTAAGACAGTCTTCCCAAATAGCACCACTCAATGTTAACTTTCAGCAAGGCTCAGAGGAATTGCCTTTGTGATTTCAATGAAAGAGCCACTCCTGAACTGGACTGACACGATATTGCACTTGAACTCATAACTAGTCTGGCTACTCCATGTTCTGAGAGGTATTTGTGTATACTTCTTTTGTTAAAAACTAAATCCATACTTCAAAATAATGTGACACATTTTGCTCATCTTTGGACTCCCTTAAGGTAATAGAAAATTTTGTTATGATCAAAAATCCCTTATAATTCTCTACCCAAACCAACATTCATCCTTTCAGACATAACTTCCTCATCTAATGCAAGTTATTTCTTTTTAAATCCCACGTGAGTTACATTATCATGTCTTAACATATGGTAAGAACAAATGGGAAATGTTCTTATACTAGTAGAGAGACTGGAGTCTAACTCTGTCTAGTAGAAGATTTCACCTCTACTGGCAATATGCTTACACAATTTAGAATTTCAGATTAGATACCACTGTTTTTTCTGCCAAGGACCATCTTCCTCAAATAAGGCAGATGGCACATTGAAGCAACAGGATTTAAAAGGTATTCAGCTCCCTTTACAAGGGAAGAAGAAAAAGATGGGCTACCACAGCTTATTTATTATTTGAACACATGACACTGATGACTGGTAAAGAATAACCTTGTACCTAAAGGCATGCCTCGACTAATGGAAATATTTTACTAATGATCGATTGTTTCATTATTTCTTGGAATGTAATATTAAAGAAACCATAAGATGCAATCTCGTGGCATCAACAACCCCATTAGTAAGCAAGCAAAAATAGAGGAAACTCATGCCAAACCCATTGTACAAAGAGAACTCTAGAGTTACTCAGGTGGTATCCCCAGTTGCTAACTATCCATTTAACCGCATGAGAAACACGCACGCGTGTGACAAACTCCAAAGCATTTGTCTTACTACAAGTATAGTGACATGACCAAAAGCTAAAATGCTATTTAAAGCACAAGTAATGTCTGTTTACACCCTTTAAAAAGTTTATTTTTCGCATCACATTTTCTCAGCATCAAGGGAATATAAAGACTTACTCTGTTGTGGATGAGTACAACTTAAATATTTGGACAAAATAAACAGGAGTTACTTAAAGCCATGTATTACTCCCTTCAAGAAAAGGAGGTAAGGGGGAAATCTAAAAGGAGTACTGGATGTTCTTGGACATTCTCTGCATATATTTTTTTTGTTCTATTTCACTGATTCCACACAGCCTGTGCTCTTTTAGCCCTGGGCAAAAAGGGCAAACCCAGGAGAAAAGAGATATGGCAAATCCATCAATTCCTGGTAACTCAGCCAACAAGCCTTTTGCACTTGTGAGAAATTTTAATGCAAGAGTGAATTAATCCTTAAATGCAAAGCTCTGAAACAGAAAAGAATTGCCAATGCTATTCTTACAAAACTGTAAGTCTAAAAGCTACAAACATCCTCAGTATTAATAGCATACAATGAATGTAAGATAAAAATAGTATTTTGAATGTTTTGAAATACTGAAATCAAGGGCGTGAAATAAGTGAGAAGCACGAAAAACAAAGACACTCAGAAAGATTAAGGAAAAGGTCACTAAGGAGGAACACGGAACACATTAATGAAGACAGATAGTACATGGAGGGAGCCAGAAAACAGAGCCAAAATGGAAATTAGGGCACCACTGTAATTATAATTTTGATCAACCTACCACGTATGATGGAAATATTTAGTTTCCTCACTTTCCCAAGGAAACTTATGTACAGTGCATCACAGACCCACAAAAAGCAAGCAGTCAAGTAATAATTATTTTTGCTAAGATGTGTGTATCCACCCTACGGTACTCCCTTCCCAGCCCAAAGGACTCTTTTGCCTATTGATTAAAAAAGAAAAATTATCAATATTCATTAGCCTCTTATTCTGAATGTATCTAAACGTATTTGGATTTCAACACCTAGTCAGATGCATAATTAGCCAAATGGCTTCTTCACTTGAACTGAATGTTAATTTCCAGACTTCCGAAGGGATATGCAAACTGCTTTGACGAATTGATGGGATGACTGTCAGTTGAGTATTTACTTCTTTTTCACAGTATTTAGAAAAATCGATTCCTGAATCAGATCCAACCTTGCTCTTTCTAGAAAACACAAGTTCAAGTTGTGTGAAGTTCTCTTTGTCTGGCAAAACTACACAACGGATATCATTCAAACTGCACAGCTGAAGCCTGTCAAATTGTGATTCCTGGCTTGAAGCATCCAAAATGTTAGGTGCAGGATAAAAGACATCACTTTCCCTTAAGAGACCTATATGAGTAGTTGTAAGAACGAGAGCTCTATACACAGTCTGCTTATCACAGTCTACTTTCACTGAGGTATACAGCAGTACATGAACATCACCTAATGCAGGTTTATTATTTCCCATATTTTCATGGAGTAAGTAAACCAGATCGACTAATTCAGTTCTAAATTTACAGGACAATCGTACTCCATTTGGAAAAACTAGGTCATTTACATCCGATGTCCAGTCAAGCGAAATCTGCATCAAATCATCTTTCAGGAGCTGGTGATTTAAATAAACAACATCATCCACTGCAGAAATCAAAACGCTCATTATGTCATGGCAAATTCTTTGAGTGAAGTGTTTGTTAAAGGTAAATATCGTGAGTAAATCATCTTCAGCAGAGCACAGAAGATTAATATTCTGTCCAGCAAAGCCAACTTGAATCTCCTTTACAGTGATGATGGGAACCTCAAGGAACATTGCCAAAGAACTGTGGCAGACGTCTTGTTCAACTGATAAAACAACAACATACAGAACAGAGCTGAACAAAAGCAAGCAAGCAGGTTCTGGTTCAGGTTTTTTACAACTGCCAACAGCAAGCCAATATATACCTTTCAACTCCTCCATTCTAGTACAAATTTGAGGTAAGGCACAGGTCAAAAATTCCATTACTTTTTCCAGGGAACAGACCTGAAGCTTCAAAAAGACATCAGGAAATTGCACAAATTTCTGCCTTAACACAAGACTGTTTTCCAGCTCTTCCTTTTCACAACAGCCTACAAGTCCTTCAGAGGGCTTTCTTGCACAGGCATCAGAGATTTCCGTTCTTGCACACACTGTGATAGCCTCTCGTACAGCGGATTCAGGCTGAGCAACATTTTCAGTATGAGATTTGGCGTCATAAGTAGAGGCGGACACATCTCGATTCACATCTGACTTGAAGAATACATTTACTTGCAAGTTTCTTATAAATGACAGATTTTTTATTAATGATACTGCTTGTGCACATCTCTCACTTCTGTCACACAAACTTCCCAACTCCTTAATTGGTTTAGAAACCACTGTAGTGTTGAGCAGCTGACTACTGGTATCTTTGTAAAGGCAGGAAAGCTTGCTGAAAAGATATCCTAAACTGTAAGTGTGCTCTGGTCTCACATCAAAACAAGAAGCTGTTGACTTAAAAGACATCAAATCAGAGGCTTCTTGTGTTGCACGCTGAGAATTACTAGACTGGTCTTCAATTGTTGGGTGCACTGTCTTAAATGGACTGTTTTCTTTACAAGTTATTATTTCTGAATGCACATTAGACTGCGAAAAGAGAAAGCATGATGTGCTGTTAAAGCCAGCGTGCTCATTAGCACCCATTAAGGATCCTACAGGAGACAGCTGTTTCAAGTGGGAACACTCAGATTCAGTTCTTGAGCTGTCACAATCCGGAGAAGTAATTATTTTATCATCAAAATGATGGAAATTTTCAACCTTGCAGCGTGAATAAGCCACATTATTTAAGTCATGACTTTGTAAAGAAGTAGATAAAACATTCTGATAAGGAACATTTTTACTCTTTAAAGTATTAATATTTTTAGAGTGAATTAAACTACTTTCAGTGTCACGATGACAAGCAAAGCTCTCTGAATTACTCCTTTCATTCTCAAATGCCTTCTCTGATGTAAAAGGGGAGGAGATTCTTCCAGAACTGGAAAATAAATCCCACATCTCTGTATATGCCTTCTGTCTTTTATGGTCTCTTACTCCTTCGTTTTCTCCAAACAAGTTGTAAGCACAAATAGCATCTTTAGAAAGAAATGGAAAGCCATAATGTGGCTGCCACTGTTGATTTTTCTGTTAAAAATTTCAAAAGAAGAAAACAGAAACGCCTTTATAAAACCTGATTTGAATATTTCTTAACTCGAGGATTGATTTTGATTAGATTTGTACAATCATTCAAAACTGATGCAATCATTGTACAATCTCTCAAAACCGGAGAAAGAAAATCCAGCAGAAATGATTGAGGTCTGATTCAGGAATGCTTGATCTTCCCAGCTCACCACTGCTTTTTCTTTTACAGTATCCATTTCACTCAGTTTATATTTTCTGTACTCGAAAAACACAGGAAAGTCAAAGGGTGACACAGAAATTTATAAACCCTTTACTGCTTTCCACACATGCACAAAAAAACTAATCCTGTACTATCCGAGATAGTGTAAGAAGTCGAACATTGTTCAAAAATAACAGTGTAAAAGCCAAAAAAAGTTCAAATTAGAGGTGTTGCAACCCTGCTACTATTAAGGTTTAAATCCATAAAGGTACCTAGGATTTACACACCAAGACAGGTAATTAACCATGTTTCAAGCAAAAGTTAGGCAACCAAATATGGTGGGAGGGGTCTAAGCCTTGGTTTAAAAATACACATATGAATCCTCCATGACAAAGGCAAACTTACCCGATGCTGCTTGCTAATATTACAGACACACTCATAGTTCATCGTGACTCAAAAATGTGAAGTGTTACTCTGAATTCAGGCAATCTCTCCTCATTAAATGCTTTTATCCTCTAAAAAATCGGGAAAGGGATACTGTTCCAAATTAAGAATTGTGTCAAAACAAGGAAGAAAGATCCACAATAACACCACACCGTCCAAACAAAGAAAAAGCTATGCCAAATCTGAAAAATTAATTCCAGCTGACAAAAAGCACTGCTGCCTCTTTAAGCCATTAATCTTGCCTATGAATTCAAAATTCTAATTATGCAGCTAAACATTAAGAAACTTAATTACAGGGCATGCCATAATTTAAGACAACCACTTCATTCTGACAAATTATGACCTACCTCATACTTCAGCTTGCGTTGAAGAGTGCCATTATTAAGCCTCTCATTATCCTAAGAACAAAAAAAGTACAGGTGATTATTAAAAAGAGTGCCTTTCTTGTGCAAGTTCATTTAAAAGTACTCATAGTAAGAGACATTCTTTTTAATAGCCACAAATAACTATTTTCTTCTTAATATTTATTAAACCACTAGCTTAGAAGTCAATCAACCCAGTCTTTGGATTGATTAGATTACCAGTTCTCAAACGAGCATTTGTTTGCAAGTACACACAATTGCTGTTCTTCTTGGATGGAATTTTATCACGGTATTTTACAGACATAAATTAAAGATATTTGTTTTATCTGCAAGCTTTCTATTGCCATTTATGCACTGTTTCCTATAAAAAAAAGAAAAAAAAAAAGGAATACAACATAAAACAGCCACTAGGGGAAATAAAAGCTATCAAATCTAAAACTGATGGGATTGGGACCAGATGATCTTTAAGGTTCCTTCCAACCCAAACCATTCTATGACTCTATGATCCCTGATTTATATGTTACTTTGTTTAGTAAATCAAATTCAAGTAAGTATAGGCAAAGATGAAAATTACTGAACAACAATATAAAACAAGTGCCTACACAAGGTTCATGGAAGACAGGATCTCCTACCCATCTCTGCTCACCTTTAAACTTTCTGTAGACCAGGATAGGCTAACATCATTATCCTCAGCTTTATGATGAATATTCCGGAGCCTTCTCTGCACTTCTTGTTCAATAAAGGCATTTATCCTTCAAGGTGTAGCAGGGAGCAGGGGGGGAAGTATATTGTTAGATAAAAATCAAGAAAGGCTAAAGGGCTCTCTGAAATGCTTATGAACCCTACATCCTGCACAAGTCTTAATTAGCAGGCTTAACATTAGACCAGGTTTATCCCTCCTTACGGAATATGGACTTTCACGCAAGTGTTCAGTTAACAGACAAAGCTTAATGATTTGTTATCACAATTTAATGAGCTACAGGTTAAGCCACTACTATGCATACAGCTGTGCATACAAGTGGCATTGAGGGTTAATGCACAGAAGAAGAAATAGAAGACTGAGGTGGCAACTTTAGTTACTTAATGGTTTGCTTTTATCACTTTTATCACGGCAACTTGGACTAACAAAGGTTTGATCTTCAAACAGAAGAAATGTTCCAAAAGTTCATACTAACAACTTCATGTATAAGTGTAAAAAGAACAGATATTAAATAGATTTTAAGCGATAAAAGGCTATTAAAAAAGGCTGAAGGCAATTTAATTTACTTTGTTGCTTTAAGTGTATATGGAGGAATACCATATAGGCAAGTAGCTAACTGTAAACATAACACAAATCTAAATACATTTTATACTAAAGTTTTCCAACCCTCTATTCTAAAACAAACGGCACAGGAGCAACAGATCAGGCTGTTGGTTATTAAAGTAAAATAGAGCAAATTAATTTTATTTCCAGACTAGTAAAGTACAATTACAGTATTTAATTAATAACCAACCCTGGCAGAACGATCTTTCAGGTTCTTTTCTAAAGCTATTGTTTGCACTCCTACCAAAGCAGTGCAGAAACGCTGGTTACCTACCTATCATCAACTAGCGGTGCAGCAGGTGGCTGTGTCCTTGTTGGAGTGGTAGGGGAGGTTGTATGGGAGAGTCTCTCTTCTAATGTGCCATGATTTCCTTTCTGACCACCATCACCCTCATATATTTTTTGCTTCAGCTGCTGGATTTCCTGGTCCAGGCTATAAAGAGATCTTAAAATGTAATTTGCTTTGATTTAGAGTTAATTCTTTGAGTTAGAGTTAGTTCTTACACAAAGTACTGTACTTACACTGGGATACATGTAAGATTGTAGGTATTCATATTTATGAACATGTAAAAATCCTAATTTTTCTTCAAGCACATTCAGACAGGAACACAGACACAGCCCAAAAAACACATTACAGCAACAGTACTATTAAATAAAACTTCAATAGCTTCCAATACAAAAGGTATCTAACTCAGCACATTAAATATTAAGACTATTAAGACTTAACCTTATTATGATCACTTGAATAAACTCTCCTCATTACAGAACTCTGTTAATGGCCTCAGTTATTAGTTTCCAGTGTGAAGTAAACAAACAAATGGGGGGATAAAATATTATAAGCTCAAAATACAGCAATAATCTGAAAAGAAAAAAGACAACCTACAACAAGGATGTGGCAAAACACATTTGTTAGAAAATCTGTGTGTACTACACATATAAATCTTATTTTTCAGTTCTTCCTTCAGTCTATATAGTTGGTTTTGAAAGTTTACTTACAGAATAAAAAATCCAGCATTTATTTTATATATACCTAATAAATCATCTTTTGAAATGAAAACCTCCTCACTTTAACAAACAAATGCCCTACCAGACAGATTTATGCACAGAATAAAATATGTAAAATTGGAGCTTGGATTTTTAAGTGAAAATGCTTGACGCACCTAGTATAAAGCAAGATGCACTTTTCGCAATATTTATCACTTAGTCAAATTCAACTGTCTTATAACGAAGTAAGCTGCAGAACACACTCTTCACTTGTAACGTCACTAAGGTTACTTTTGTAACACAGTAATAACCTTCCCCATTTCCATTACAAGCTTTGTCTCTAAAGGTAATTATTTTTCTAGAAGTTACTTGAAAACTGAAAAATAAAAGAAGTTCCTGCAAAAGCACGTGAAACTAGGCAAAGTTGGATTCTACCACTTACCCTACAACTGCATATATCTAAACTGAAGTAAAACGCTAGAATGACTTTATTCCATCCTGGAGGTTAACACAGAAAATTGAAGTGATAACAATTGCTGAGGCTTAAACTGGAGTAAAGCAGGCTGAATTGTTACTTCATTTTTAGAGTACTCTTTGCAGCAATGCCAGAAGCTATCTGTTTCTTTTGATTAGCAGCAAAACAATCTTGCATCCTGAGGGAAACTGGATGGGAGATGGCTGATGCATATAAGAGAGTGTTTGCATCAACAGAAAATCAATTTAACCACAAAAATCAGAATTACACTAAAGGAAAAAAGCTTGTATCTTGATTTGTATGTAAACATCCTACCATCAAAAGTTATCACTTCCTGTAGCTATAAACTTATCCAGCCATGTGATGCATCCACCAGTAAATACACTAAACTGCACCTTGCCATGTGTGAGTGATACATCCCATTGTTTCAAAGGCTCTAAAGTTGCTTTATTTTAATTCTATTGCCCCAAACCTCTGCCATTAAAGACAACACATATATGCATTATTCCAGTATAAGTTAACTTCAAATTATCATTTTGGGGGTCATCCCTGAAGGTGAAAGAATTTGATCTAAAATACTATTTAAACTGTAAAAAAACACCATTTTATCCAGCTATGATGTACTTATACTAATAGAGCATTTCAAATCAATATTGCATTTAAACATCTTCAGAGAGTTAACACTGTTCTGGACAAGAGCACATCATCCCATAATGGTATCTACATAAACAATAAGAAACATATAAAATTCATACGCTTACTATAAGATCAAAGACATTGTGTACTGTGAAGTGTAAATTCAAACAGAACAGTGATAAGCAGCCTGAAATGTTTAACTTACTATCATGTATCTTAAGATTTTCTTGTGCCTCAACATTCGTAAAAACATTCTGAATTGAATTTTTCAGGCCCCTGGGCAACTGACTGAAAGACTTCAAAGTTTTATTCAGTTTGTGCAAGAGGGCTTTCAAGTAAACAAGAAAAAAAATCAAAAGGGAAAGAAAAAGAGACCTTTTCACTTCCTTGGTATCTTTTCTAAATCCCAGTCCTCCAGCTGACAATGTATTTTTTTTACTTATCACAGAAGCCAGCAATCTTGTGAGGGCTCTTTTTGTGGAAACTCCAGTTGTTTACAGCTGACTTCAGTCAAGTGAGATGCTTAGAGCAGAAAACGAGGTGTTTGTGTTCAAGGCAATTTTGAAAAATAATGGCAATATCCACAACAAAATGATGAATCACTACTGAAAATGCTTAACTAAAATCCACACAATGTAGCTATGAAAAAGTGACCTCTACACAGGGCATAGAAAAGAACTATTCTGACAGTGGTTTAAAATGAAAAGGATACAGAAGAGCTCTTCAATTTGGCTATAGGCAAGTTTCTTTTTTTAGGTCGTTTTTCTAATGAAGCATCTGTTTGAAGGGCTTGTGAAAGAAGAGTCAGATAATTACTGGAATATTAAAAAAGCAAGTGACAAATGCTACCTCAAGAAAAAACATGCAATTGTTTCATCAATAATCACAGGTTTCAAAGCTCTAGTATTAGCAAACTAGATAACACATTTAAAAATGGCAATTATGCCCTTTTTCCATACTTCATGGGTTAAATGTATTGATCCCAGTGGCCGTTTGCTCAGGCTAAAATGAAAAGAAAAGGTCTCTTCTTCCTCGTAGAATGCTCCTTCCTTACCTGAATCACTTTTCTCTGAGCCTTCCATACATAGGCTGAAGGCTAAGTTACCAGATATGGGTGTAACTGATGACACTGCTTCTGTACTTAAAAGGGTTTGTCATCACATAGGGCTGTATTAAAGGCTCTGTATAGTATTCCAATGAGCTTAAAAAACACCATCAAATTTTACATGGATGTAGGATGGTTACTCTATTTATTCAGCCCTGAAACTAATACCAAAAAATTAAACACCTGTTTACTTTGAATAAGAGAAGTGTTGAGTACATCATCAGCTGAAACAGTTGGCAATCTACTGTAATAACTATCAGTCTGAACAAACATCTAGCTCGTCACTGATAAAGAAACAAAATGTAGTACATCAATATTTTAAGAGAAAAACATTCTTAAGGGCAGAACATAAAGTTGGCAGTCCCTTCTCAATAGGTAAAACCATTTAAGTACTGTGATGGCTAATGCAGATACTATACTGCTGAGGATGGGATAAATATCTGAACACAAGAGAAATTAAAGAGCGAGCAAGAATCCTTTAAGAAGCAATAAAGAGCCTCCATTCTGGGCAAACTACTTGAAACTGATCAAGAAACTCAAATACTGGGACACGGAACAAGTCACTTTCTCAACATCTACGGTAGAATCAATTTATACTTTTAGTGGATAGGTTCTAACAAACAGAAGCCACCACAATACTCACCGTTCCCGGTCTTGTTCGAGGGCTTTCTGCTCAGCTTCTAGACTAGCCTGCAGACCTGCCTGTTCACTGCAGCTATTGTTCAAGGTGGCAAGCTTCTGTTTCTGCTCTTCGATTTCGAAGTCTATCGTCGAACGACGTTGCAAAGCAGAGTGCCTCCTTTCTAACTTGGCAACAGCTTGCTCCAGTGCCTCTCTCTGCTGCTTTTCCCTTGATTCAAGGATTTCTTTTTCCTTTTTCCGTACCTTTTCTTCCTGACGAGCTATGTTGGCTGTAAATTCAAAGGTTTCTTGAAGCTGCTGCAGTTGATTTGTGCTAGCTCTATACTGGGCAAGCCGCTCTTCTTTTTCTTCTATTTCTTTCTCTATTTGATAGAGAGTATTATCTAACCCTAACAAGCCTCTATCAAGGACTTCAGAAGCTCTTTGTTTTTCTTCCAGCAGAGCTGGCAAATGACTACTCTTCAGGTACCCAAGCTGGCGCACTTTGGATTGGAGCCTGTGTTCTGCTGTCTTTATCTTTTCAACTTTTTCAGCCTTGAGTACAGCATCCACAAAATTTTCATCATCTCTCATGAGATTTAAATGGTCTTCCTGTGCAAATTTTAAGTGTTCCAGAGCTCTTCTTTCATCTGCTATTTCCTTTTCTAGGTGATCCATTTGTTGAACTAAGTCTTTCACCAAAATAGTCAACTGCTCCAGTTGTTTCCTTTTAAACTCTACAAAATCATGCTGGGCTTTTTCTAACTCTTCACATTTTTCATCACCTTCAGATCGGGCCTCCTTGACTTTCAAAAGAGATTCTCTAATATCTTCAAGATCTCTTTTCTCTTCTTCAATTCTTTGTACATCCCCTCTTTTCAAGAGCTCTATCATGACCTGCTTCTCTCGAAGCTGTTCTTCTAGATGAGCCACCAGCATCACCTGCTCCCTTTCTTGTTCTTCAAGTCTCTTTTTTTCTGATTCCAGCTTAATATACTGTTCATCTTTTTCCTTTTTAAGTCTTTCTAGTTCACGGAAAATCTGCATTTTCTCTTCCTTTTCATTATGATTAAGCTCTTGTAGTCGCTGCAATTCCTCCTTGACCCGAGCAAAAATTTCTTCCTGCTGCTTTTTCTTTTGAAGCTCTATCTCCTGTTGTTCCCGTAATCTTTCTTCTTCAAATTTTTCCTTTTCAGCCAACAAATCCTTTAACCTGCTCTCTATGTGAACACTTCTTCGTTTCAGACTCTCTTCCTGTTTTCGAATTTGCAGCTGTACTATTTCTGTCTCTTTGCGTTGTGATTCTACTTCTTGCTGCATTCTTACGAGTTCTGCTTTGTCAGATCTTTGTTTTTCTTCCATCTCTTCTATTTGCTTCCTACAGTAAAACAATTACATGCAATACTTCAAACTTTTTTTTTTTCCCAAAAAAGATAATATAACTCTTAGAAGTTAAAAAGGTTTGGATAAGGACTTTGCAGGATATATAATGCTTTTTTAATAGTTTTGTTTTGCTGCAGGTTAGGATCTTACACTGCTTAGAAGTGACTCAATGAATGAGACAAATGGTAAAGAGACTCAGTGTATTTCAACATTAAATGTTCTGGATATATGAAGTTAAAGGAAGACATGTTATATATATAGCACTAATGTTAGTAGAAAATAAGACTCTTAATTCTGTCAAATCCAATAAAAATATTCATAAAACACATAAACACATACAGTGAAGAGGAAAAATATGTATTTTTATATATAAATACTGTCTCATATAAACAAATTCGTATAAAATTACTTGATCAGAAATTTGCCTCACCAAATTCAAGCCAACAGACGAATTAAAACCACATCATTGCTTTAGATGAACCCAACTGAATTACTGATAAACAGAATTATAAGATTAGGAACAGATGCATTTGAGAGACAAATTACTTTAAGACAAACCATGATACCCTATGCAATCTCTCTTTTACAGGTTCTAGTGCATTCTAAATGAGGACAGACTGAGACATGAAGGTCACTATTACCCCTGTCATAGAATCACCTGAATACATGTAGAGACAACCTGCAAGCCAGTTGCTTGTTTTGCTTGAAGTTAAAGTCAAATAAATTAAAGCACAAGCAAAACAACTTCAGCACAATCTGAATTCAAGTCCTATAAATGTAACGAAGAGGATAAACATCAGTGATTCTGTTGCACCATTTTCTGAATAATATCTTCTAATGATTCAGATTTTCAGGGTTTTTCTGAGTTTACTTAACTTAGTCCAAGTATATAAAAGCTCTTTCAAAATGGAGCAAACAGTCTACAGCAGAGACGGCAGAAAGTGTCTTTCAGGTTATGAATCTAATCAACACTGCGATCTGCAATAAGGTGAGAGCTATTACTTCTAAAATCTTAGCAGGCATGATGAGCCAGAACAGTCAGCTCAGTTTGCCTGCTGACAACAATACCTTCTTTGTACTTCAAACTGATTTTGAAATAACGTTCTGATGAGTGTGACTGGTATACCCATACCAGAACCACAATTTGAGAAGCAGAGTTTATAACATGAACATATCCTATCAAGATTCAAACCAAAGGCAACTAAACCATAGAAAAAGATACGAATAAAGAACGTAATTTGCCATCCTGAGAGGGACTCTTCATCAGGGACTGCAGTGATAGGACAAAGGGCAACAGGGTCAAGCTTAAACAGGCTAGATGTAGGCTAGATACAAGGAAGAAATTCTTTACTGTGAGAGTGGTGAGGCTCTGGAATAGGTTCCCCAAAGAGACTGTGAATGTCCCATCCCTGGAAGTGTTCAGGTTGCACAGGCCCTTGAGCAACCTGTCCATGTGTGAGGTGCTCATGCTCATGGCAGGGGGCTGGAACTAGATGATCTTAAGGTCCTTTCCAACCCTAGCTATTCTATGATTCTATGATCTTCAGGTCCTTTCCAACCCAAACCATTCTAGGATTCTATCCTTTAAAATAACACCATCAAAATTAAGAGTGAGAGAAATATATTATATTTGTATATTCCATCCTCTTCATACCTTTATGTTTGGTATTTTCTTTGCTAAAGGTCACAGTTGGCTATCTTTCACTAATCAGTAAGAATGGACGATTCAAGAAAATAAACCAAAATCTTCATAGATGACAAAACAAAATAGAATTATTTATATTCAGATCTTCTGCTTGCTGAGTAACACTGTGCCTCCAAATTAATGATTTAAATGAGTTTATAATGCGTATATGTCCATATATGCACATATAAAGACCACAGAGAATAATGTTACCTTTTACTTTCTAATTTTTCAAGCTCCTCCCGTTGCTGTCTCTCAAATTCCAGCCTGATTTAAAAACAAATAAAGAGCACAGTTAAAACGCTATTATTTCCTGAACAAAATTGGAAGATACGGAGCATTTCTGTAACAGTGGTACAAATCAAAAGTTATATAAAACTACTTTCCACAAGAACGAAAAATATCTCCTTCATTAGGGTTACAAATTAGGTATCATGCTGACACAAGTAGAAACAAAAAGTAAATGAATTTTGGGGGGGGGGAGGCAGAGGGAAATACTTAAAAAGTTAAACAAGACAGATAAGTGATTAGCATAGCCTCTGCAAGTTAACTACATGCAGGCATAGCAATCAATACATAGAAATTGAATTTCTCTACCTTAGACAGATCGGTCCTTTTACAGGGAAAAGACTGCCATTGGAGGCAGGGGGAAACGGAGTGATCAATTAAAAAAGGAATTGATAGAAAGAACATATTAGCAGTGCAGAATATTTAAAAGTCAACAACAGTTTGCATTATTAGAAGTTAAATTCGTTAGTTCCATAGAACATTCATCACATTATAACTACCAAGTAAAATTTAAATACTTATTCTTTCTAAACAGGCATTTGGAATGCCAGTAATGGTTAAACCGATGCTCATCATCCTATGGTTTATTAACTTGGCCACTTCTGAGAAGGGAAAAAGGTATAAAATCATGCTAGGGCATGCTTGTAGTTGTTCTTCCTTTTCCTCCCAAGAAAAAGACCCAAACGTCCCCATGGTGTAATCAGGGCAACCTTTCTACAAAGTGCAACATTCAAGCACATAACACAGTTCAAACCATTTATATAATTGGAGATTTTAATGTATTTAGTTTGATGAGGTTCTGAGTAATTGCGGGAGAGTATTTTATGTCATTTTTAATATCAGCTTATTACAGTTGTACAGAATTCTATTCCTTTAATTTCCATTGCAATATTTATGAAGTTTTTTTAAGGAAGTTTTTCAAAATACATATTGAAAAAGCATACAGAACCTGTATATGGACTGAAATATTCAACGAAATATATAAATAACCACTTATTTCAGGCATCCTGAAAGGTTAGTGAGACAGGCCATACACACACTACAAAAATGCAAGACTGCACCACAAGTTAACCTCAGCTATGATGAACTGCAGTTGAAGTTGTCATGGCCACAAATATGTAGACAGGTTTTTTTAAAATAAGGTATTTTTAATATTTCTTCCTAAAATCATACACATGCATAGAGCAAAAAGGAACTGCCCTTGGAAACACGCAAAAAATACACCGATCATCTCACACTTCTAAAGCAATTTAAATGAACTTCGATTCCTACATGCTCAAGAAGCATCTTTATAACCACTGCGATTCTGAAGGCTAGTTTAACAGATTACACTTTTGCCTATTTCTCACAAATTCATTTAAAAAAAAATGCTTTCTACAATTCCTAAGAGATAAGCAAATGCAGACTTTTTATACACCACTCCAGATATTCAGTTGTCATGTAAATGTTTCACCAAGAGTCCCTTCACATTTGCATTAGGACAATGGCTAGGAAAGGTCCTATCTCAACATTACAGCACAAAAAGACATGACAACAACTTTGTACTTCTAGTATGATCACAATTTCTGCAGCAACAATGCAAAACCCACAGTGTTGAAAGAGAACAAAAAGCAATCTTAAAGGAACTCCAGAAAGCAGAAGCTTAATTCAATGGTTACCAAGAGCTCTGGTTCTCCCCTCACTCTTTTTTTAAGCTATACCTCAAAAGCTCTCTCTTTGGCTGTGGTCTGCCTGTGGAATTCAAAGCTGTTCATTATCACTTCTTACCTAGGGCTTGGCTGACAAATGCCACTATATTCATCATTACTTCTGTCCAAAATAATAGAGACCATGGGGAATACAGCTCTGTTCTGTGGAAATGCAGATGTCCATTGGGCACTGTCAGATGTAGATCATCTCTGCTTACACAGTTGGCAAAGATGATTTACAAGTATTCCCATGGTTGGTTAACCCTTAAATGAAATAAAATGTTTCAGACTGGCTAGCATAATGCACAAAACCCAGAGCAAAACTCTTCTGATATTTTGACTGTCCTATAAAACACATAATTTGGCAAGCATATTTTATATAAGCATAAAAATGGTAATGAGCTTTTGGCTTGAGATCTGATACAAGAAAAATGAGCCATCACAGCAATCGGTGACACAAAAAACAGGTCACTAGTGAAAACTCTATGTTTTTCTCTTTAAGGTCTGTAACACCTTAAACAGTGGTATCATGACAATCACGTTCACCTGACACTGAAATTAATCTTGGTGGTGCTCAAAAGGTTGCTCAGGAAAGAGGAACGAACTATGAAAAACTGGTCCTTTCTTCAGTGAAAATGGCTACTTCACAAAGCCAAATATGGATCATCAGCAACAATCCAAGAAACAGCTTCCAAACACTACCTAGCTATTTTAAAATGCACATTTAATGCATTTTACGCAACCTAATACTCCTATAAAGAGAAGGGCTAGTGCAGCCATGTGTTTTGCTGTCATGTAGATTCAACGGTGCCTAAGAAGGTCTGAGCTCCACTGAAGGCTCCGCTACCATGAGGATATTCAGTGTCTCTATTCTCTAAGGCACTCACACTGCTGCCTTTATTTCACCAGGGCCAAGAATAATGCCTGTCATCTTTAGTTGACTGCCTATTTTCTCAGTGTATTTAGGAATTCTCCACTTTTGAGACCACTACCTCTACAATATCTGCTTCAAAGTGGTTATGGGCTCAAGGTTCTTTGACAACAGGAGAGAAGTCAGGGTTAAGGAGCCAGGCCAAAAAAAATAAATCTCAGCATCACCAAAAAAATCACCGGCTATAGCAAATCACTGCCAGTTTTACAAACCACAGATGCAAGACTGGGGTTTTCCAGTTTAGTCTATCTGTAATAAAAATCTTTTTCACATAACCTCTAGTCCTTTTATTAATGTGAGCACTACTGTGAACAGACAAAAGTATAAGCTTGAAATTAAAAAGAAAGAAACACAAAGATACTAAAGACTAGAAGCCACTCTTTCTTCTTTTGTAGATCTACCACAAAGGAACTTAATCTGATCAGTGTTGAATTAAATAGACACCATTTTCCTGGAAAACCTGGCATATCTAGTGATAAAAGCAGTGTAGATAAGCTGAGAGAAAGAAAGTCAGTTCTACTAGCACAGTACTACAGTAGCTTAATTTACACAGCACAAAAGTGCGATCTGGTACTACATCTGTTAGGAAAGACTGAGGACTGGCAGGAATACAAAGATGTTACAATGCCATTCAGTAGCACAATTTATGAGATTAATTAAAAAAACAAAACAAAACCCCTATGCTAAATCCATGACAAAACCAAGGTTTCTCATGAGTGGTTTTAGAGTTATAGTATAATGTAGTTTACAAAAGGTCCATAAATCTATGCACAAAATTCTATTTTATCCAAAGCTTATTATCTGAAGCAGTGTTGCATGACACCAGATTAAAGACAAAGACTGGGAACAAGCAAAACAAAGAATTTTGCATGTTAAGCCAAAAATTTATGCAACTATATCCACATATGGGAAATCAACAGCCAAACAAAAGCCACACACACCCACCCCACAAAATTCATGCACAAAGGCCACCCATCTGAAAACACAATTAAAGGTTAACACTGATTTTCATATGGGAAAGACAGATATAGTAAGCAAGATCCATCATCCATCTTCTTTCAAAACAACCAAAAGTAATACCCCACAGGCTTTTCTACCACTGGCTGCTAAAGACATGAGATCTTTCAAGCTGCTTAGTGTAAGCTATAGAAATTGCAAACTCAGCTATGGGTCTTTAGGTTATCAATACTGAAATTGGAAAAAAAGGTGGTCTTGAAAGGGTTAAATCAACAACAGGCAGAAGGATAGTCAGCTGCGGAAGTTGCACAAAAAACCCCCAGAGAGCCAGCAACAGAATCTAAATCTACACTGCTGGTGGGCTGTACAACCTTATGTTATGAGAAACTATGATAGTATAGATACTGCAATCTATAGCAATAAAGGATCATACCAAAGGATCACATCTTGCATTGTTCATGGCTAAAAAAACAAAATACAACCCAAATTTACTATAGAATATTCTTTTCCATCTGCACCTCTCCAGGAAGCAAGGTGCTCACCCACATCTAACACCTTGGTTATAAATATCCTGCCTTTGATAGCCAGACATCAGATTTATTGAATGTTCTACCCAGCCTGAACACAATCACCACTCAGAACTACCACTGTAGCACTGGACTTGCTAAGCAGCATTCCTAGCTGGAAGTACAGAGCTCAAGTTTTCTGCAAGCCATCTAACTCTTTATGAATACAATGCCATTGGCTTTGAGTTATTACTAAAGCCTATATGCTTGGGGTCTGCTGTATTGAAAACATATTAATTTCTTTAATTTGCATTGACTCCAGCCACTTGCTCTCCTTAAAGCAACACTTTCTGCTGAATTATCCATTTTGGACAAGCTCACCATATGATCAGAAAACCTCCTGTGCTGTCACAAAGGAGATGGACAGAAAACAGTATTAGCATTAACATAAATATAAAATTGTCGACTCCAGCGTAAGCTGAAAAGCTGCTGTTGCCAAATTGCCAGCCCTAAAGATGCATCAATTACAGAAGATGCTTTCTTCTACTGATTTGTAAGATCTGGGCTCAGCTTAACTGCAATGCAAACAGCAGAGCCTACCTTCTCTTTGCAGCAATTGCAAAAGCAGTAAAAAAAGACATCTGAGGTTTGTTGGGGTTTGTTTTGTTGGGGTTTCTGGTGTTTGGGGGTTTGTTTGGGGTTTGTTTGTTTGGTTTGGTTTGGTTTTTTTTGTAAATCACTGATCTAAGGATGACACCTGCCTTTGCACTGCATGGGCAATGTGTATTATTAGGTATGGGAGCTATAGTTTTAAACATAGTTAAAGCCTCTGAAGAGAGGGGTAAAGGTTTAGATTTTGAATATGCAACCATTGGGAATAGTATTGCTTAGTATCTTCATCAATGACATAAAAAATGGAACCTGGTGCACCCTCAGCAAATTTGCAGATGACAACAAGCCAAGCGGTGCAGCTGACACGCCTGCAGGACAGGATGCCACTCAGAGGAACCTGGACAAGCTTGAGAAATGGGACCATATGAACCTCATGAGGTTCAACAAGGCCGAGTGCAAAGTCCTGCACCTAGGTCAGGACAACACCTCGTATCAATGCAGGCTGGGGATGAAGTGCTTGAGAGCACCCCCTCACCTAGAAGGACTTGGGAATATTGGTGGATGAAAAGCTGGGGTTATTGGTCGATGAGAAGCTTAACATAACACATCAGAAGAAGCACGACCAGCAAGTCAAGGAAGGTGATTCTACTCCTCTACTCTGCTCTCATGAGACCCTAACTGCAGTACTGTGTCCAGCCTTGGGGCCCCCATCATAAGAACATAGACCTGTTGGAGTAAGTCCAGAGGAGAGCTATAAAGATGCTCAGAGAACCGGAGCCCCTCTCCTGTGAAGACAGGGTAAGAGATTTGGGCTTTTTCAGCCTGGAAAAGAGAAGGCTCCAGGGAGACCTTAGAGCACCCTTCCAATATCTAAAGGGGGACTGTAAGAAAGATGGGGACGAGGCTCTGTGCTATCTGACGTAGTTGAGGATGTCCCTGCTCATTGCAGGGGGATTGGACTAGATGACCTTTAAAAGTCCTTTCCAACCCAAAAGATTCTATGCTACGATCCATAGGCTTCCTCATTTAGGAAAACATATGTAGAGCAATCGGTACAGCATCTATGGATCAACCTCAGATTTATTGATCACAAACAAATGACAGTCATGCAGACCTACATTCCTGCTTTAACATGAGCCTTAAGCATAATCCTTTCTTGTGTTTACAAATTATGCAGGACAAAGCATCTATTTCTGCAAGCCAGTTCACAAAGATTAATTGAATGCAGGCTAGCAGGAAAATATCAATAATTAACCCTCTGCTTGTAGTCTGCAGTCTAACAAAACACAGACACAAAGTGTTCAGGAATATGCAGAGTATTTCTCCTAATCTGATCCTCAATTTTAAGAGCAACCATGCTCTCATAATCACACCCAAGAACAGAAAATAAAAGTCACAAGAAGTGTTAGATAGGAAAAATGGCAGTGTTTCTAAAAAATGCTGCATACTATGATAATTTCATTTTATTATTCATACTGTTCAATTTCCAGGAAAGCAAGGCAAGATGTTTGAAGAACTGATAAGGGAAAAAGAAGCTACAGTCCACTACACTTATCAGTGAAAAAGTGGAATTTGCTGCAGTCTATCCCATCAGAGACAATCAAGCAACTCTCCAGACTCTCTTTTTTTCCCCAGATGTTATGGGAAAAGTCCTTCTCTATAAGATACAATTTGGCATTATCTGAAGAGTACGAACTCCTTGGACAGGGAAATCATTCTTAAGCCCACTTTCAACTGGGCCTTGCCCATGCAATTATATTTTGCTGCAATTTTGAAGGACCAGAAGCAAAGCAATGCTGTAACAATCTGTTCTACTCTATGCTGACTGCAAAGTCCAGGTCCATACTGTGCAGTATAATGCAATTATTAATAACAGAATTGTAGCAGAGTCACATTATTAGTCAAGGAAAAGCTCACGGTAGCTGATCAATAACCACAGGTAATAAACAACGCAAGGAACCCAGAAAATATAATACTAGAAACTGTCACTACATGTTTTTAGACAGAACTATTTGAAAAGCTAAAGAAATAGAAAAATACATATATAATTTTTTGCTCTTCTCTCTCATCTCTCTCTGAAAACAGATGTAATTTACCAGCAACTAGCTCACCATCTTGAGATCTCTGTAGGTGGATCAGCAGCAAAAGAGTAACAGTCACATTTGCAGCACTGTTATTGCACATTCACTGTATTTAAAACATTGTTTAACTTGAAGTTATTGCTTGTGCAATCTTCCTAAATTCTAATGGATAAAGAGCAACTCCACAATAAAACACGGGAATAAAGCTGCACTATCCAAGGCTATAATTCAATTTACAGCCAATTTTTCAAAAGCCCATAGGTGGTTAAAGTGCCTCATCTCATACTCAATTGAAAACACAGGCACTAGCTATTGAAAACAAAAAATTAGAACAAAGCACCATCAATTCTCTGTAAATCACTTTAAGAACACTGGTAAAAATATTAAAAACAGCCTCTCTCAATAAGCAGAGTCTATGTCATTGTAACTATAATGAAACTGTTTTCCACACCCTAACTTGGCCACATACTAGGAGGTATATAAGTGAGAACATAAGACATAAATTTCCCAGCCTTTTTATGCTTGTAGTGGGGTTGGAACTAGATGATCTTAAGGTTCTTTCCAACCCTGACTATTCTATGATTACACAAACTAAAAAAAAAAAAAATCGTAATTTTTCAGTTTAAAACGCATTTTTCTAAGGAAAAATAGTTAATTCTGGGAAAGTGTAAATGTAAAATTCGCCATGGTATTATTGTGCTGAACTGCCTTGCTACAGTGCAAATGTTGTCTCCTGGACTCCAGCTTCTACAGCTGTCTATCGGTGTCCCTTCACCCCATTTTCTAGCATGGAGTAGTTCAGATAACATTTCTGAAAAGTTCTGGCTTCGTTCAGGAGCCCATTATTTAACAAGCATAACCTGAGAACAAAATATTGTCTATTATTGACATCTGGAACAAAACAATAAAATGAAGAATGGCTGGAATTTTAACAACCACATTTGGGAATATACTCACCCTGGATTATAAAGCATAACTGCTGACAGGTTCTCACAGGATTTTGAAAGATCTGTCATAGACAAGCTGAAGGAAGACAGCAGTCCACTCTAACAACAGACCATAAAATAAATGTATTAGACATACACTGATGTGCTTACAAACTCTTCCTTTGCCTCTCTTGGTGAAATATTAACTAAATGTGAAGCAAATAATAAAACGTATTCTACAATAATCAAAGAACGTCTATATGAGCAAGAAAACTGTGAAAAGGTTTAAATTTACCAAACACTGATTTAACCTCACCTTTCTTTTCTCCCTTAGTTTAGCAGCTTCTTTGGGGTGGTTAAAGCGAAACATATTGGTTCTTCCAAGTAATATAACAGCACCTGATATAGAAAAATAAACAGCATTCACTGACAACATTGTGTACCTGAAAATGCCATGTAATTTTTCAGACAGACTATATAAGCAAAGAACTTCATTAAGCAAGAACAAAATGAAAATGCATTTTGATAATTCAAGTGTATGATGATGCATGGCCACGGCTATGCTAACCGAACTATACAATTTATTCCTTCCTTTTCCTACTTAAGAAAATAAACCACATATGTTTACACACACAAAGGTCTAGCATGTTCATGCAGTTCAGTTAGAGAATAAATATAGGTAGAAGAAGCAGTTGCCCCAGTTTGATCTATATACTCTTCAACGGTGTTACTTTGGAAGCCATCAGTAGGTACCGGATGCAACAGGAATGTCCACAAATATGACTAAGAACAAACTTGTCCACCCGCTACTTACTGCAGTCAGGTTTGAATCCACCTCCACTAAAAGCTCCAGATCTCTGTAATTTGCATGCTCATTTACCTTTTCCTTCTCTATGTGGAACAACACTGAAGTTTATTGTCACTCAAAATGGGATTATTATTATTAGACTTTTATACCCAATAGTTATTTTCTGAGAGAAGAACCTTGAATAATTCATATTGCTCAATGCACATGCATTACTGTATTTATCAGTTAAGGTACAGGTCACAAATAGAGAGATTCTGGGCAATTCTTATCATGTTTTAAAGACAATGGCACCAAAATTAATACTTTCCTACTAAGAAGTGCATTGTCAGTGATGTCTCACTACTGTCACATAACATGAAATTCTTCCAAGTTAGCAACTAGAGAATCAAGCATTTATTTGTCAGTCAGTATGAGGCATTTCTAAGAAGAAAAAGGTCTCCATTACACTCACAGTATTAAAAAACTGCACTTCAGAACACTTGTTCACTATAAACAAATTATTACCATCTGAGACTGAAATGCTGTCCTTAATAAGGAATGTTCCTCTTTAAGATTTGCTTGATTAGGAATATCAACTTAAATAAGGTCATCCAGTCTTGGCAAATAAACAGCAAAAGCCCTAAAGTTACGACATCGCTTCTTGATACACAACTCATCAACTTTGGACAATATTAACAGCCTAATCTTAAAAAGAATAACCTTTCATAAATCTGTATGTAGGTTTGTATTGCAAAGTCATTTAGAAATGACCTCTAATTCATGTGATGACCTTCCCTTCAAGTGCACTGGGCGTATTTTTTATGTGAGCATACTAAAAAGGATCCCTGATGGCCATGACTGCTATGGCAAAAGGGCTAAAACTGGTTTTAGCCTGCCACTGCTTCATATGCTCACAGTTCTCCCAAACATTTATCCTTGATGACTGCCTGGAGGGGGATTTTGCAACAGTGAGGATTTCTAAGAAACTCCTTCAGTTACTTTCAAATGAAGATTAAAAAAAAATGATTGTAAACATTTTTAACCACTTTACTAGGTAGAAGGAACTTTAATTAATTACCTAACATTTCAGATTGAATACAGTTACATATGTGTCCCTAACTACACGAATTTAAAAGAAAACAGGAGAGAGAGGCTTAACAGCAAGGACATGAGAGTCAAATCCCAATGACAGATCATACAAACAACTCCTAGGTTTCTCTTTTAGTACTGTGAACATTTTGGTATTATTCCACCATTAAAAAAAAAACTCTCCAATCTTAATTCCCACTTAGCAGAGCTTAAAAAAGCATCAGCATCAAAGCCTCTTTCAGGAAAAAAAATCTGGATGAAAGCCTGCAGTCGAATATTTCCTAAGCACCAGGTTCAACTGGCCACTGTTGTGTAATGCAGCTCTCCATCAGAATGCAAGGGTGTGAAATGCAGTGTAAATATTGTCATGGAAACATAACTGGATTTGTTATGAGGTTTGCTTTTCGTTTATTTACTGTAAACAACAATTCTTATCCTCCTTGAATGTTAAATGGCTAAGAATAAAGGTTTGTCAAATACAGATAGCACCAAGAGCAACAAAAAGTAAGCAAAAAGGACTTTATCATAGAATCATAGAATGGTTTGGGTTGGAAAGGACCTTCAGGTCATCCAGTTCCAAACACCCCCCCGCCGCCATGGGCAGGAACACCTCACACTAAACCATGTCACCCAAGGCTCTGTCCAAACTGGCCTTGAACACCACCAGGGATGGAGCATTCACAACTTCCCTGGGCAACCCATTTCAGTGCCTCACCACCCTTACAGTAAAGAGCTTCTTCCTTATATCTAACCTGATAATTTATGAAGCTCTGATCTCACAGTTTAACTGGTTGGCTCCAACACATAAACAATCAGAGAGCATAGGGGAAAAATTATATATACATACATATATATACACACATACATACATATATATACACACATACATACATACATATATATACATACATATATATAAAAAAACAATGCCTGCCGAATATTATCAAGCATCTTGACTACACAGAACAATATTTTGGAACTGCGCAAACAACCGTATCTATAATTAAGATCTTACCAATTTCTAAAAGTAACTTCTATATTTTAAAAAGTTTTTTTGGTTTTCTTTCATTAACAAACTACAAAAAACAAGCAATGGGAGGTTATATTAATACCAAAGTGTTGGCATTTTGGCCTAAAAAGCTGGAAACTTGATTTAAAGTGAGGTTATATTGAAGATAAAAGACAGACTCTAGTTGTGAATGTCAATCCAGTTACCTCTAGAAGTCCTACCACATGTTCTTAAGAGTAAATAAAATACTGTAGTAAGTCACATTTACACAAAAAGGCCACATTAGCCAGTATTCACAAATGCTGGAAGCAATCTGTAGAAGGAAGTGGTAAATTAATTACTATGCCTCTTTTTTTTGTAAACTCCATGACAGTCTAAATACTTCACACATTTTCAAATGAACAGTTATTAATGATGAACGGAAACATTTAAATATATCAGCAGTTAATCAGCATTACCTAAAGCAGACATTCAAGGAGGCTGGCACTTCCTGCTGTGTGACTAAATGCTAGCACAAGCTTAGGATACATGGATCAGGCACAAGTCGTTAAACTAGTTATTGCACCAATTTTGCCCTTCTGATGTCAGAGCTGCTGCCTTGCTCTCGGTCTCAGTCTGGGTGCACAGTCTACAGGACAGCTCACGCAGCTGTTTTCCACAATGTAGTTACTCTGAGCAACTCTTTCCCCTTCTTTTGAGTCGCAAATCTCTTTAGACAGAAATTCATGACAAAAAGAAAAAAAACATGTTTCTGCTCTTCACAGTACAAAAATCAAGTTGTTACATATGTCTGGAAGAGGGAAACTGAATCCAAACTCCTACTTTCTTCTGAGGCACACTGAGCTTCTACTGCCTTTGAAATGCAATGAAAAGTAAAGATGAGTCATTGCAACTCAGATTTATTGTTTGCAGTGTTATTTGATATCAATGTCAATGTTTCTATTGCTAATAACTTATCAGTGGGATTTACTCAAACATAAGACAAAGGGAATGGAGCTTGCTTTCCCCTCTCTCCACCCAGTATCTGCAACAAAAATGAGTGCATACACTTTTTGCTCTGCAAGAAGAAATAAGATACTTTACAAAATCAGTGTCTCCTCTCTACAACAAAACTTCTCTTCTGAAAGCAGTTTTGAAGCACTTCTTTGAGTTCAGAAAAGATGCAAGACTTCTTTTGCTCAGCACTGCAGTCTTCCTTCGGTAGAATAAGCTTACCCTGAAAGCTTCTTTTAGGGAACATAAAGTGAGATTGTTTTCACAGCCTCACTCCTGAACAGGTCTTCAGCTCATTGCTAAATGGGAAGATATTCTGGGTGCTCCTGGAAGATAAAATATCCCGCCCTCTTCTGCAGCACTTACCAGATTACTTGTCAACCAGTCCCTTCCAGGCCAACACAATACACCTTTGTTCCCAGCTGCTTTTTCATTTCCAGACTTTAAAGCTTTTATATTAAAATTCTAATTCTCTAAACTTCCTCCATAATGGTTACCCTTCCCCTTTCTGTCATTTCCCTACAGCTGCAGTGAACAGATACTCCAGCTCAATCTCCTGCTGTACAAAAGGATTTGGCAACAGAGCACTAAGTATGACAGGTCTGAAGCTCAAGGGAGGGGGTAGGGGTGTCTCTAACATTATCTTAGTCCTTTAGAAACCAATATTCTTAATACTAAAGCAACCTGAGCAACCTGGCATGGACTTCATCTTACATGTAAAAATTGAACAAAATCAAAGGGTAACTATTAAATAATGCTCAAGATTATGAAGTGGCCTAAATTAGTAAAGAATTCTTGTCACCACATGGCAATTCTTTGACAGGTAAAACTCTCTGGTTCTCCTCATGCTTTTGGGCTGTAGTTGAGAAGACATGGAATTACAATTAAATAAACAATAAGCCCTTTATATACGCACAGATTTTTTTGTGCTGCTGCCAGAAAGAAAATCAGAAATGACGTTATGCTAGGTAATACCTTGGTTTAGGTGTGTGGCCTCTGTAATCTGAATACCATTCACAGAACACTGCGCTCCATTCAGCGGTATTAGATTCACAGTACCATCAAGATTTTCAAAGATGCAATGCTCACTTTCCAAATCAAGGCCATGAAGAACTAAACACAAAGAAATAAAATAACTTAGTTAGTCCCAAACAAACAACAAGATTACCATGCTGATATTCATTTATTCAGGACACATTACACTACAGACTATTTTTTCTCTTTATCTGGACAATGTTTTCTTCTTTCCGTCATCACATTCTGCACACCTTAAAGTTGATCCTGCTTGTTGTTCTATTGTAGTGGATATAAGGGTTGGTTTTAGGTTTTTTGATGAAATGTCCTTGCCTCCTAAGTTTGGCACCTGATCAGCAAATGCTTTTTTCCTTCTGATAAAAAACAGAAAAATAAAATTTATGTATTTGTAGAGAGGGTTTTTGGACCAGTTTCACTGGGTAATAATGAAAGCTTCTTGACCTTAAAGCAACCATGCTTAAATCTGAAAAGACAGGGCATAATACACAATTGTAGACTAGCAAAAATGGCTGAAGCAAGGTTCTTACATTCTATGACATTCAGGCCTTTTATCAATCAGTTCTGCTACTTCCTATTTCTTCTTCAAACTAAGGTATGACTATCTCTACCTGTATTGTTCAATAACATAGAGCAATGCAAGTTTGCTACTTTAATGGAATCTACATAGAAATTTTAATTCAAGCATCTCTTGACCACACAAATATACCACACTTTTATACCAAACAAAATTTACCAAACTAAGTTACTTGACTCTCAGTATGTCACCTGAGAATTAAAAGAATGCAGTTTATTTAAGGAAACTGCCTTCAAGCAACATGTGACAGGGCAGTCCAGGTCTGGCAGTTGGTTACTTTGGTAAGAATTGAATAAGATAATCAGTAGAAGCAGCTACTTCCAGATTTTACCAACTTCCAGAATTTTCTTCAACTCACATCTCAAGTCAAGGACTGCTTTAGGTATAACAATATAACAATACAACAATCCTGTCATTATACAAAGGTTAAGAGAATGACTGTGCAGTAATTGTGACAGGTGCTGCATGAAAAAGGATGCTGTGTTTACAGGATGCTATTTCAAGAGAAGCAAGAAATAAATTAGTAACAAGTTTATGAATATACATAAATTTTAAGCCACAAGCTGTTAGAGAAATCATGCTCTTTGAAGCAAATCCCACATAATTCATCTCTCACATTTTCTAAACGTTAAAATACTCAAGAACACAAAGACAACTGAAAAAGGGAAGAAAACATGAAGCTTTGTTCACATATTGGGACATTAAGAGAAGGAAAAACAACTGAAGAAAAAACACTAAAAAAATGCCAAATTCCATACCAATATCCTGTTCAGTCATAGCATCTTCTCTGCCAACATGTGTTTGGCCCTCCTAATTAAGAGAGAAACATACATTATTTCCATTTAAATCTCCCTTCTGCCCCAAGACAGATATAATTTACTCTCCCTCTTTCTCAGAGTAACCTGAACAAAATATATGTTTACACATACATGAAAAAAAAATCAGGCAGCATTTTTAGAAACTTCTCACAGTCATTACTATACAATATTAGTATTAGCAAATTCAAGTTTCAACTATCCTGTGTAGAACCACCATTGTGGTTTTGAGGCAATTAATATAGATTTGGATTTCAAGTCAAGCTTTATAACAAGGTGAATAACAAACCATATACACGTGCACAAATGTTAAACATCCACCTCTGGATAACCTAAACAAGTAAATTAACAGATGTTTTAATTGAATCAGTTGCAACCTCGTAAGAGCTTTTCTCGCATAGCAAAGAAACATAATGAGCTTTTCTAACTATAGTGGAAAAATGTAAAGAGCACCAGTTTTAGATAGAAAATTAATATTACAATTTGTCTACTGAACAAAATGACAAGGCATATAAAGGCTACTTAAATACAGGTATGTATTTACCTTCAAGTGGTACAATATGATACCAGTACTGAGAAGATCATCATCAATGCCAATTAGATGAGGCAGTTCAGAATCTAACACAACACCTATCCCTTCTTTCCTCAGAGCCAACGTTTGTTCCTGTAAAGGACAAAAAACTATTTATTAGGATATGCAACAAGTAGCAATCTTCCTTCTTTTTCTAGACTACATTTAATGTAACATATTCTCTGAAATATCACAACCCCCCCCCCCCAAAAAGGCACAGATTTTTTTTTCTCCTCATTTTAAATGCGACTTTTGTAATTCCATTTAGCATTCCACACCTGCTGTTCAGGACATCTCAGTTATTTGAAAGAAACCAGATAAACAGCTGAATTATACCAGATAAGGAAGATCAATCAAGAGCATAACAAAGCAATGTTGTCTAAAAGCAAGCTATGTACCACCTCGCATAATGGTAAGGAGAATATAAAACTCAGAATTCAGTACACCTAAGGAAAACTGAAAACTCTTTGGCAGTCCTTTATGTAAACTGAACCTTGCACAGTAAACCCCCAACATCTCAAAATCTGGTAAGCCTCAGCAATTAAAACATCATCCAATGTAAATGAAGCATTGACAATAGCAAATAAATGTAAGAACTAGTTGCAGCACATAATTTAAATTCTACAAAATTCCTTTGGACCACATTGTACAGCCATGATGCTTTAGAAGCATCATTTAGAAGGACTACAAGTGTGAGACTTCAACCCTGGATAAAACATCATGTGATTAATCAGTTTATGTCATAAATAACGAATCAATTATAGCTTCAAAATTTGTTTTAGTATTTATAAAGTTTGTTTCCCAAATTGAAACAAAATCATATGCACTTCTAGGCCTGGAAGATAACAGCACTAGAGACTGTGAACGTGTACACACACCACCTTTCAAATTGAATGTGTTTTTCTATATAAAACACCTAAGCCTTTAGGAGTCAAGGAAGACTGATGACCCAGGAAGGAGAGGCAACATCAAGATGTACCACTGCTGTGTATTATAAAGATGCACACCTTTTTCCTGGAAAAAATGGAAAACAATTTTTTTGACAGTCACATGACTATTCCTTCTCCAAGTCATTGATACGCCTTCTCCAAAGCCAACCAAGACACTAAACTGTTTGCAAAAAGAGTACAACAGATAGTTAGATGTATTTTCCCAAGTACAGCAACTTGCAAATGAAGGAAGAACACAGATATAATCTCATTCCCTACACATCAGAAAACACCGTCAACACTGATTTGAAGAAGTTTGAAGTACGGATACACCTAAGCAAGGGAGACGACACAATGTACACAATGATGACACTCCAAAACAAAAATGGGAAACCCCACTTTGGTCATGGATGAATTAAAAAGTTCTCCAGCCTTCAGAAAGAAAGAAAGAAGCTGTGATTCATGTTGGCCTGCCGCCCTCTGACATTCAAACTGCACCCAACTATTCCTTGATATTATAAAACTGTCACCGCATAAAACCAAAAAATACAGCTTAAATCATTGTTCAAGTGATAAAGTAATTTTAGTCAAAAATACCTGTAATTTTAAATATTTATTGAATAGCACATACTATTATACATAATTTATAATGTTCCCATATGATGAGGTTGAAGACCTCAAACACCAGTGGCCATTTAAAGAACCACTGGCACCTCTGGTCCAAAGGAACCAATAAATTATTAAGAGCTGAACATTTTTTCTCCAGCATAACAAAGCATTTGCCAGCATCTCTGGCTGAGGGAAAAACAGACATCCCAGGAGGCAAAGAAATTACCATGGGGTAAGAAAAATCTCTCACAAATTATTGAGACTAAAGAAAGAAACTATTTTTTAATTTTCCAGCCTTTTAACATTAACACCTTTTTTGCTATATTCAGAAAAAAAGCAAGTTACAACTGTGATTTAAAATAGATGTGTTGCAGATGTAAAATTAAAGAACACAAATTAATGGAGTTTCTAAACTTGTATTTGTAAATGACTACCGTTCACACACAGAATGCATGCTGTTGATGAAAGCATTATAATAAATGCAACAGACAGTAGCTGCAATTAAGTGTAATATTTTTGTCTTTAATCCTTGCTGTAATTCAGCTTTTATCTTCAGATACAACTGACTAAAAATTTTGAATCTTAATCAAAAGCTCCTGCAAGGATGCCTCCAAATGCCAAAACGTGCCCTTTTGCCCGAAACTGAAATCACACAAACCTCATCAATAGCAAATCTTTATTACTCTGTTATCCCACAGAGGAAGAAAAAGAAGAAAAGGGACAGAAATAAGTAGGGAAATTGCTCCTCTTTCTTCCTCGAGAGCATAGGAATGATGTTTGCAAAGAAGGAAGGGCCTCTTTTGAAATAAATTGAAGGTTTATTACCTATTATAAGGCAGCAAAATGATTAGGTTTATTTCATCCTTTGAGCCATTTTCACTTGTGCAACACAATTTTAAGGAGCAGTGAATCCAAAAGTCAAATGACAAGAGCAGGAAAGGTCACTGTCCCTATTAAAAAAATATTAATTCAGGAAATTTATGTAATCCTCAAGGTACAGTTGAAGCAAGTTGAATGTATCACACGCATCTTTGCTTGAATTACCCTTGAACAGAGAAGCGTACACCGACTCCCTCAGTATTTAAGATACATTCATAACCTGTGGAAAATAAAGCCAGCCAAGTATTACCCACACGGGAGCACTCCGGTTAATATAAATGGCTACTGCATGAGCAGGACAAAAAGAAGTTGCTACATCAAATGGACTCATTTGAAGACTCATTTTCATTGACTCAGAAAATAATTGAGTCAGTACACAAGAAAACACTTCCTTGAGTCAAAGTTAAAATAAGGGGATTCTATCGTGCATCTAAATGATGGTCTCTTTGAACTTAGCTCTGATTCAGCAGTCAGAAATATGCTGATACAGTAAATTCATTAGCACTTCTGTGACAGATATAAAAGCTATTGTGAAATCTCATCCCTTTTGCACTGATAATAATTTGCTGTATTAACTGATTTGGCAGTATCTCACAGCTAAGATATGTTCTGGTAGTTTAAGAACAAAATCTTTGTTTAAAGTACTTATTTAGGCTGTAGAGTTACTCATTATATATAACTGCCCTTGATAAAGAGTACCTATAAGATACATGGGTTTTCTTTAACAGTATTTCTTTAAATGCACACACAAAAAATGGAACCACATGAGTTTACTTTTCTAGCAAACGGGATGTTGAATTAAAAAGAAAATATGCCCAAAAGACGTTGCTAATATTCCTTGACCAATCTACAAATAGACTGACACTTATGCTGTTACTGCTTCAGCAAGTATTAAAGAGTACACGTAATTAATACACTGCCATTTCAGTAACACAACCTCTTGTACCAGTTTCATTTCTATTACACTTCCCAATGCAAAACCTCAATTGTTTTAAATACTGAACAGTTAGCTGCTGGCACAGAGTCCTGAGAATACACTGTGCAGAGTCTTTCAGTAAAACATGACAATTCACTTAGCTAGCGCAATGTTCAGATGTCTACAGTTAAATTATGCAAATAACATGTAATTAAAGAAATTATGGGTAAAAATGCTCAATGGCAAAAGTCTTTTTTATTACTACTGAACCACACTATACTAGACTAGATTCCTACGCTAACAGATAATTTGGGTGCATTTGATTTCATTGGAAATAAACTATTATATTCTGAGTTCACAAAAATGTCTGAAGATACCCAGTAGCCTGGCATTAACATTAAGCTCTCTATAAAATAAGTAGATGTAAACTGTACACAAGGGAAGTTACTCATTCTTAATCTGCTCTCCTCCAGTTATGTATTCAGTACACTTTATATTCCCGTTAAATCACTGGAGACAAATATTTTACACCTGCAGAAAAAAATATTCCATACTGCTATTGAATGACAACCAAAAAGATACACCTATACCAGGTAAACCTAGTTCATGCACATGTGCTCTGAGGGCTACACTGCCTGAGCTTCCAGATTTAACCCTTTCAAAAAAGGGAAAAAGTCATAACTTCATGGCAGGCCCATGATGAATGCATATTAAAACCTGAAAGGAAGAATTCCCAAATATGCAGCGCTTGCTTGAATATTTGCAAGGGAGGAGAAAAAGATGCAGCAAGATTTCAAAACCAAAAAGCAACCCCTTGTTAAACTGAATGACACTGCAGACATCAATAATTTAACACAGATACAAGAACTTAGAGAAATTGTGAGAAAAGGAAAGGAGGTATTTGTAGACAAAGGTACAGGGCATCTAAATACCACAGACACAGAAAGCATGGTAAGGTTTCTGGGGAAGGATTCCTATCCACTTGCCCTGTTTATAGATTTGAAAATCGAGTACTGCTGTATAAACCATACTTTGCCTAAAGGGCCAGTAAATACTTTCTTTAACAGGGTCACAAAGGACACGAATGTTTGAAGTTTGATTTAAAACCACATTTCCTATTGTCTTAATGCATATTATAGGTAAATAGACCTTAGAAATCAGTGTTATCAATACAAATTCTCATTCTCTTTTGATCCTTATACTTCAAAAATTCTTAACACAATGAGTTCTTTAGATACTTTGCACAAAAATCAACGTTAAGAAAACATTTCTTATTCACATTTACTGCTTTTTTGATACAATGAATTGCTTTGACACCCTAACTAAATTATCCAATAATCGGGAACTCAGATCAACCAAATATTATCCTATTATTGTGTGCACCATCTGTGCATTCCACACAAGTCTAATATATCTTTAGAGTTGCAAGATTTTCAAAATATGACATTGGGATATGTGATGCTTTTATTATTCCTATATCAGCCTCCATACAGTGGTACATTTATGAGTTTACCTACATTAATCAAATACCCCTGTGAAATATGAAAGCTTTCAGTGCAAATGAAAAAATACTTGTTCTCATCACTTCCTGCTCTTTCCTTTTTTTTAAAACAGGGGAATATTTTTCCTACTTAGATGAGGCAGATGATCTTCTAGCATGCAACTCCCTTCTTATGGAAGCTTTGAAAATGCTGTTTGCAAAAGTATTAAATTCCATATGGCACTGGTAAACAGAAAGTTTCCTTCGTGTAAATGACTCT